AAACGGTAACCAGGACCACGAAAACCGCACATTAAACGAAACATATGATCGATGAAATTCCGTCGGTTTCAACAACTTGTATGGGTCTTCTGCATTTGCAACTCAAGGAGCTTCAGCCGAGTTCGAATCGCCAGGGACTTTAGTCACATGCAGGCACTGCTGCAAAAGTCCTTCGAGATCCTACATTCAGGGTCTCCTATGTTGCAAAAACACTGACACAAATAGAGAGACAAACAGTAGACCATCATCGCTTGGCATAAAACCAGAACCAACGATAAACCGACCTTGGAAATCAACAAAAAGGGGGTCAAAAAACGCCCTGACTATTGTGTGAACAAACGTTCTCGAATCTACCGCCATAACATTGCGGGGTAAGTTGTCTGACGACCAAGACAAGTGGAACGCACTGTGCATTTTGATGGACGTTACTCGTTACGCGAACTCTGCACAATATGGCGAACCCAAAATTATTAGAGTAACATTAGAATCCACCATTGATGCAGAAAAGATTTTATCAGTGTGCTGAAGCACGAGTCCTGTAGGGTATGCATCTAACCTGAGGCACGTGACAATCGAAAAGAAACCGTACAAGGACACAGCAAGTTGAATTGTTTAAGCACAAGGTTTATTTATAGTGTGCCAGAGTCTCCATCGTACGATAGTCATGAGGCCGGTAGTCAATTTGGAAGATTGGCGGTCTATTCGCGAAACACTTTCTTTGGACAATGCTGTGACGCATTTGCTCAAAAGGCGGCGCCTCTCACCAAATTATAGAAAACGCGGCCCAAGAATCCTAAAACTCATGGTTCAGACAGCTACGGAATTGTTAGGATGTTGGCGGAGACATGGGAAAAGCCTTCTATCTGAACTGAAAGCTGCTGAGTTCATGTAAAGACCAGACAGGAGCCTATGTGCAAAAGCAAACTTACCGGCAAGTACACAGGAGCTTCACATTACCACTAGGTCACGCTATTCTGCAGTTTGTTTGCACGAGGAATGGGAAGTACCTTTGCCAAATCAAGCAGCGAACGATGTGTCATCATCATCCCAACAAAAAAACGATTAACGGTCGACATCACATCGGTTGACATTTACCCACAATTAACTCGTTTAACCGCTTGTAGGCTCCTAGAGGCCGAGAAAATCTGTTGCGGGAGAGTCAAGCGGCTCCGCAAAATTTACACACTATCGTCCGCATCACCAGGCCACGTGGTGCGGGACGAACTTCATGCCTCACAAGCAGATCTAGGAAGAGCCCAGCGGACTGGGAATTTAAGATGTTCTTATTGAATCTTACACCTCGACGTAGTGATTCATACTACAATCAAAGCGGCGTCCTGATCTGTATTCACCTTTGCTTAGTCGTGAAAACACTGCGAAGGTCTGTCTTCCTTCGCTTTTGTGCGCGAGACTAGGGGTGCACCTCGATCATTCGACAGAGTCGTTGTGCGTCAGAAGAACTTGGGTATGTGCGGCCAATCGCGGCTAAGTTTCCGGGGGTGTTGCAATCAGCCATCCGTTTATCGTACGTGCGGGGCAAAGTTCGCGTCGATTAGGCTAACACAAGAGCAGGACTTGGTGTGCTGCGTCAGAGAACTAGGCCGAATTGGTTACTGGCGTCTAATACAGGACAGGGGGCAACGAATCTACTACCGATCGAGGGCTACATTATTACACCATCCTGCCTGCAAACCAACACTCAATACCTCAATAGGATGGGCCAGCTGAAAGGTAGCCAAGTTTCGAAACCGCGTGATATCATCGGTGTCAGAGAGACATGGTTGCACACTGGAATGACGGAAGCTGAAGTCTCTCAATCGTGAATGTCACTCATACGAAACGACAGGCTTACGAAAGCAGGTGGGGTGATTCTTTGGTAGCGAAGAGAAATACACTTTTAGGCCGTGGCAGATTCATAGTCACAGTTCGCCGCTTATCTTTAGTACCGCCTGCAACTACGAGGTAGAGACACCTGTCTTACACCTTTGATGCAATGCCCTTCAAGCGCTGCACAAGAAATGGACAGCCATCTTGTGACAGCTTTGAAATGCAGTCTAAAGGGGAAGTGAACTCATATACTTATCGGGGGTAATTTCAAGGCACTAAGTCTAGAAACCCCTGCTACAATCGGAGAGCAATTCAAAGCAGATCTTCACGGGCTAATAACAATTGTTCCACTTTACAATCACGTAACTGTGCCCACTGATTTCAAAACAAACAATAGACCAGATATTGTGTGCACTGACGAGGAACATATGATTGACGTACTGATGTAGAATGCTCTTTCATCACCATCATCAATGGCAGTACAAGGGCCATTCAGCCATTACCCTGCAGTTAACTCAGCACCAAACACACTTTGAACAGGCAGTCTGACCAGGAGAGGACAGGAAAAGCGCCACTGGTGTCGACTGCGAGCCATGTCCTGTAAAATCTCGGGCGACGCACGAGGAAGCTCACGTGGACTCCAGCATGGAAAGCGG